AACGACTACCACTTTTTACTCCGCCCCTAAATGCTTACGTACACACAAGTTCGGAATCAGAAACTAACAGACTCAGCTGGGAGCCAAAATGGCGGCAGAACGGGACTGTCGGAGGAAATAGATACAAAAGCAATAACGTATAATTCTTCGTTGTTTCATAATAACACATCATTCTGTGCTTACAGATGAGACACTTGTAACACGAATAATGACTGAAATAAGTACGTAGTGGTGACTAGTTCAATTTTCATTTTGCATAAATTTGACCCAAATTAGTAAACTAATGTATTACTGCTCTCAGGTGCTCATCAAAATTCTATAATGCTTACAGTAAGTCCACAAAGTATTCGAGGATAAAATGCAAATATTTGAAACCATACAGGTAACAGTTCTCCCGTGCTGTGAACTAAAAATACTATTACAAAATAGATACATGAATAAAAACTGCCAATCTTGGCCATTGCACAGAGTCGTCGTACATTATTTTTGCAGTACATTTTAGACTCTATCACAGCTGTTACCATAAGAGTGACCCACCTGAATGTAAACGTGAGATAAACCCACGTGAGCTGGGGGCCAGGGACGCTCTCAGTCAAATAGGATGATAGTGTAGCTGTCCTCCCCATAAAGTTGTCACCAGGAGGAGAAATAAATAACCAAGAGGCCCAGCCTCCTTGCAGTGTTGTAATTTCACTACCTTATGGAGTGAGGTATCAGGGCCTGGTTCCCACAGCCAACAGAGAAGATAGCTGTACATTCATAAAAGCCCTGTGTGCCACTATATCGCAATTAATGTAGCACATGCATTTAGAGGATGATTTTTGCACATACATAGATAGTTCTCAATGAGACATCAGTCATTGAGACATCAGTCATCATTACCCAGTGATGGGTAACAAGAAAATCCAGCCCACCCTCCCCTTGACCAAAACTGAGGAGCACTGCTTTTTCAATTGGTGGTAGAAGAATGAGGTTTCCATGCACTCTACAATGGGTGGCACTACAATGAGGATTTGATCACTGACCTCTGTGAGGCTTGTAGTTTTGCTTTACACAGCAAATTGTAATTACTGGGTAGGTAGGACATCTCATCCATCTATTGCTGCAACAAGGTATTTTCATGCCATCGATATTCACTGCGTAAAAGTTACTTGCTCCAGGTGAGGCTCGAACTCACAACCTCGGCATGGCTCTGCATACTGTCATATAAGTACCGCGCGCTAACCGATTGCGCCACTGGAGCTACTTTGGAGGTTAAAAACATTCTGGAGTTCTGATCTGATCAAAGGTGAATTCCAGACAAACAGTCCTAAAATATCTGCATGGTAGTTTTTCATGTGTTCTTACCTTTTTCAAGACAATGTTTTCACATAATATTTGTGAAGATCATCCTGTTCTAGAATACTGGTTTTCCTTTGTGATTGATGTCATATCAATCACATGCATTTACAAATAACTTATGCATTAATGCATTATGATTTCTAATGATTATTTTAGCATTGTTATACAATGGCATTTTGATTTAGTCTCACAGTGAGAATCTGAGCAGACATGCCTTTATCTATTGTATGCACTATATTGGAACTAAAAGTTGCATAAACCATAAAGAATCCAATATGTTTGAAAATCTCTTTATATCAGCCTATGATCAAGACATGGGGTTTGTACAAGTTTCATTCTTTGGTGCAGAAGTTCAGACTGTTTTCTTCTTTTATTATTTATAGTTTAGGGTCTCCTCCTCTTCCTGTTGGACTCGCTTTAGCTTCATATGAGAAGGGGGAGGTGGACCTGTGTTACATAATGACACAATGCATGCCAAATCAAAGAAGTAAATATCAGAAAATGGCCATGTGTGGAGTCTGTGAGCAATCCCTTTCGGCAACGTTTAGCAACTGATAAGACCAGAGATCTGTGACAAAGGCCAAAATATACATAGGTCCAATTTTCAGTTGATTTCAACCCTTTTCTACAGAATGGTTAGGATCATCTATTTCTGGAATTCAAAACTACTGTTGTACTTGTGTCTTTTTAGCAGCGGTGGTTAAAATAAAAAAAGGCCAAAAAGGTTTTTCCATAAATAACACACTAACAGGTTCAATGAGCATTAAAGGGAAAATGCATTTTCAAGTGCCTGAATGTAGGCATGTGGCCTTATAGACCAAGTCAAACAAACAAACAAACAAAAACCTTGCATTACGGGAAAATGGTTTGCTTAACCACAGATAGGATTTCAGTGTTTACTGTCAATCAATCATTTACTCCCCTACTGCCACCTTCCCACATGGATGAGAGCAGAGAATACTGAGAGTGAATAGACTGTAGTTCATTCCATTTTAAACATTTACATCATGATTTCATCCTCCTTGCTGTGTGTATGTGTTTTTGTATGTGGAATAAATCAGTTTCTAACTGTGGAAGCGCATTATGGTCGATGGAAAACAAGCCAAAGCAGGTAATGGAAACTTTTGATATGATGAAAACCTGAAACCTGATGTTCTTCTTAATTCTCAGCAAAATCACAGAAACAGGAGAGATACTCTGATGACATCTGTCTATGGTCTTTGAAAGGGCTCGAAACTCCACGGCGCGGACAGCCAGAGGAATACTTGCTCCGGCTCCTATCGATTGCAGGCTGAAGTCATGGACAGACTGGACCTCCTGTGCTCCATCTAAAGAAGCTACGGTAATACAGTAATAATTCACTTGAGAGTTGCTTGTGTTTTAAAATGTCTTTCTCAGTCATATGTAATGTTTCACTACATGGTTTTCTAGAGTATATATTTCCTTCACTTTTACAATACATGTCCTTTTAATTCTTCTAGTGTGATCTTGGTTTAGGGGTGAGGTAGTGAAAGCAACCTTAAAATGAGGTAGTGAAAACAAACTTAAAATCACAATTCCATTTTTCAACACTTAAATTGTATTCTGTATTACAAAAATAAAACTCTGAGTAAATGCAAACATACATAATATATTTTACATAATCTTGGCAAAATGCCAGGTATGTAGTTATTATTGTCTCTATTTTCAACACCCCATTCATACAAATATTGTAACTGTAATTAAATATTGCTAAAGTCTGCGAGACCAACTAAATAAATAATTTTCTTTGGGTAACATCAGGAAGTTAGTGCAGCTGGAGTGAGCCTTTAGCTCTTCTGTATGTGATATGTTCCTTGTAGTATCGGTTCCGGTATCTGGAGCAGGCGTCACAGTTTGGGGGGACCATATGCCCAAGCGGGCAGTGGCAGGACAGAGCATGCCCAGCCTCCACAAAAACATATACCTGTGCCAACGGCTTTGCCTGCGTTGAGACAGGCAAGTCACTTCTACTGAAATGCACTGCGCACCTATTCTGGTATTTCTGGAAAGAAATAGAAATACTTTAGTGAGCATTCAAATTACCACATCCAAGAACCCATGTGGTATACTTATGGCTTATGTTTTCCATCCAAAAATATTCCGGATGGTATGCGATAACTGTATATTTTGACAAATGGCTCATATAATGAAATTTATAATATAGGATATACCATAATATAGCTTGTGTTTTTAACTGCTCACCTGAAATTCACAGTGTCAGTGTTCCATTAGAAAAGCATACATTAAGAATCAAAGTCAGTACTAGAAATTTATAAAACTGCTTTTCTCCTGGACCTTTTCATTGATATTTTTATAATCTTCTTTTACCTGTGGTTTTGGCAGTCAGGCTTTTCATATGATATTCAGCTATTTTAAAATAAAAAAAACATTGATAATTACCAGAGTAAAAAAGATGAGCCTTGAGTATACTGAATCTGTATTGTTGAAAATATATGCACTGCTTTGTCATAAATATACAAGGTTTTCAGGTAATGAATCTGTGTGGGAATATATGAAGCATTGCTGCAAATATATTTCAAAATGAACACAATTGCAGCTACATTTATTGGATTCATAGTTTCTCCTTGGTTTGGTCCTGTAAGGATTAGTTTTCCACCAAAGGCATTATTGGTCTTTCCATCCACTGCACCAGGGCCTCAAACCCTGTCAATCCCGCTGTAATACTACTGCCAGACAGTGAGTCCATGTAGTGTGTGTCTTCAGGCCGCTGTGTGAGTGAGAGACTGCGCTGTAACTGGGATCTGGACTGCAGGGATGGATCAGACGAGGATGACTGTGAGGAGGACAGTTTTGTTGATGGACCCTGCACGCACCTGTTTCACATCCCAGGCGCTGAGAGTGCCACCCGCGGGTATTCCTATATTCCAAATGGACACACAAACATACGTCATTTTTGTAGCTAACTATGCCAAAGAACAACATACGATTCAATGGTAATTAGTTCATATTTCTACATAGGAAAGGACCTCTGACAACAAGGAGGGTATTTGGACATAGTAGAACCACTTTGGCAAGGACTGCCATCAATACTACTTTTAAATGATTACCTCAGAAAACCACACTGTTGATGATGAGGATGGGATTTCAACATTGCCTCTTCATAGATATCAGATGATTGTAAATTTTGACCGTACAAACTCCAAAGCACAAAAAACACTTGTGCTACTACTTTCCATTGATTGGTGGGGAGGGATACATATATTTATTTTTGGAGACTTTCACTTAAGCTGTATGTCAAATAGTAATTAAAGTAATAGGAAAGGCAGTGCCAGGATGTTTCTGTATATATAAGAAAATAATCTAATCAGAGCACAATGGATTTGCAGTCCAGATTACTGACATGCTGAAACATAACTGACATGTAACAATCATCATTATGGTAAAAACAAAGGTCAATATATCTATGCTACAGAAGCAAAGCTATGTGTTGAGGTCTCTACTTTATATCTAAAGGAGAGGTAGGCAGATTTATGTGCCTCTTTCTAAAAAGGCAAATTGTGATGGCAGTTATGCTGTTGGTACTGTCAGTATCAGGGATAGGTTTCATGTAATGTCTTGACTGACAACACTGCCCCCAATGCTTTGGAAGGAATGCACCTCATAAAAAAGCAGTAGTCCAACGAGGATGGGACTCAAACCAACACTTGCAGAGCACAATAGACTAGCAGTCCATCGCCTTGACCACTTGGCCACATCATCCCTTGTACCTGTAACATGGACCAGACATGCCCTGGCAGATATCCCAATCAAACATTGACTTCTTTCGTAAGAAGCATCTGAAAAGACAGTTATATATTTCTACTTGGTAAAGCAGCAACATTCCTGATAAAATAGCCTTTTCCTTACTTTTTGAGGAGAGAGGGGATGTTGTCACTACTGGGAGCAGGTTTTGGAGCACAACAAGGATGGGATTCAAATCCAAACATGCAACACACAACAGCTAGGCTGCTCAGTGCCCTAAACCCCTCAGTCACTTCAAGTGTCAACAGAGGAATAGTACCATTAGTTTTCATTGTACCATTTAATAAGTTGCTCTTGAACTAACCCATGATATTATCTGCCTCAATTCAACCTGTCTCTTTTTTTTGTCATATATACAGATACAACATACTGACTAATGAGTTTGTGCTACCCACTCTTGATCCCAAATACTATGGAGGAGTCTGTGAATATGTCTACAATGGAGAGTGGAGAAAGCTTGTATATGATGCTTTCTGTGAAAACATGTACTACAATGATGATGAGAAATATTATCGTAAACCATTCAACTTCCACTACTACCGCTTTATGGTGAGTATGCCCTAATCAGCCACCCACAAAATGGAAGAAAATGATGGCCTTTTTACACATTGCCTGGCAATTTACTGCATTTACTTAACTATAAAGTCATTCTCCATATATCTGGAGAATTTGCTGAGCATATGGATCTCTGAATAATAGATACATGGTACAGCATCAAGTATGTTAATATTCATGGATTAGAATAAAGAGGGTTGTATTTTATTAGCAGAGCGGAGTTTGTATGTAGTAATAGTGGATTATAGGTCTGTTCAGTTAAATATTTATGTGAGTATTTATATATTTATTGTTGTATAAACTTATTTACATATCTGGGCCATTTTATCTTGTTAAGACATCTTAACGAGAAGAAAGACACATAGGCAATAATCCACTCTGAACATGAATAGTGGCATTTGGAGCCATTACTTGAACTTTATATCTGGACATAATATTGAGATCAAGTCAATATGTGTTGATAATTACAGATAATACAACACAAACCAGTTTCCCATGTATATATTTATGTTAGTTAAGCTTCCGCAGGTTCAATATATTCCAATGTAATTATCATAACTATTGCAAATCTCGTGATTTTGATGAACAGCTTTCATAGCCAAGTGGTAGTTTACTTTTGGATCTCCTCAAATTGGCCTCACATACTGAGAAATGGTGGCTAATTTACTTCATTTATTTGCATCATGTAAAGCAGCATTTAAACCATGAACCATGATTCATGTTGGTTCATGTTTCAGTGCAGCAAATTTCATGGATTCATGTCTATTAGCTCATTAGTATATAACTCATATAACTAAAAAACGTTTATATTAAGGAACCACCTGGATTCACAGAGAGACATGATGCAAAATATGTTAATTCCAGGGCCTTTATATTTAGCATGGTTCATCATTTATGTAATATTCACTTTTCCCAATGAATGCAGAGAGTGATATTAACTTTTTATGTGGAAATCGCTAGAGTGAATATGTTGTGGAATTGCTCAATCTGACAAAACCTCTCCTCAATATTATATTTATTGATCTCAATATACACTTCATATATGGCTTTATCAGCCAGGCACCCAAGTCTCCAGCTTAAGAAAATATGTCCTGACTTCTATTAACCCTGAACAACCAATATCAGTGTATTTGGTATATGCTGCAATTATTAACTATTTATCAAGCAAAGGTGACCATTCACTTACAGACACTGTATGGATGTTCACACAGGGCCAAGCTGAGTCTGTCAGTTCCACTGAATCCTATGAAGATGCTGTCAGCTTGCTTAGGGCCAGGAAGAATGAGGATTCCTTCAATCTTGGCTTCACAGTTGGAATAAACACATTTGAGGGAGGTGTGTCGGGAAGCAATGAGCATATGTTCTTGAAAAACATTTCAGAGTACCAGGAAAAAGTAAGTATTTTAAAACTTGTTTTTGCATTTGCATTGCCCAGTCTTATTTGTTTGCTCGTCCTGTTGCCACAGCAGGCACTACCAGTTAGAGGGACAGCTCAATAGCATGTGTGTCTGGGGAAAGGCATCAGGCACAGGAGCTGAAGCGTATATTTTTCATCATGTAGTCCACCTGCTGAGCTTCTCAGTCTCTGCGGTGGAGGACTTACACATTGGCACTGGCATACTGCAGTAAGATGAGTTGTCCTTGCATGATGAGGTAGAAAGTTTACAAACACAGACAAGTAAAACATTTACAAACCAAAAGCAGGTCACCGTTTGTATGCATTAAACAGAGCACTAGTAAATGAGTATCCAGTGTGTATCACAAGGTGTCCATCTTACATACTTCCCCGCATCTGAACTCAATGTTTAAAATATAGTGGTGGACTTAGCTTGGTTCCAAAGACACTGTAGAAGAGAGAAAGTTTGCTGTTTAGTGAATCAGATGAACTGTTGAGAGGAAACTGACAATCAGTGAAGTGTCTTGAAGGCAGGGGTAAAAAGATTTGAAAAGGGAACCTGGAAAATATGTTGAATTCGGAGAGATTGATTTGTATTATGGTTTTTGATTGACACTGAGACTGGTTGTCATAATATGTTGAGAAGGGGACTGTGACTTTGATGTAGCTTCCCATTACGCCTCTAAGGTGACTGCCTTGGCCCTTGGTTAAGCCACAATGGGGTGTTACCAAATAATGAAGCTATTCATAGTGTTTGTTTTCCCAGTACATCAGTCAACATTAGTTCTGCTTTGATTTTTACTTAAAGGCAGCTCATGTCAGTTTCCTGACTGTGGTAAAAAAAACTGTACATTGCACATGTAATGTGAAGGGACTGCTGATGGGGTATCTTTTTGTCCAGAATCTACAATTTGTGAGGCTGGTGTCTAAAGTGCAAACGGCTCAGTTCAAAATGAGGAGCAGCGGACTCATGCTGCATGAAGATATGTACCAGTCCCTCGTAGAGTTGCCTGAGCAGTATGACTTTGGCGCATACTCAAAGTTTCTCAGCCAGTATGGGACTCACTATGTCACCTCAGGGATAATGGGAGGAAGTCTTGAGTACGTTTTAGTCCTTGACCAATCAGCTATGGCCAGAAAAGGTATTCCTTTCCTTCCTCCATTTACTTTGGCACATAGCTCTCAAGTCTTATGTGTGGTGTTTCTCATGGGTGTCCTGACCAGCTGTATGCAGACAGAATTGCTGAATGAAGAGTGAGTGGGGGGAGGGGGGACTCATTCAGAAACTCTGTCCATGGAACAGGTCCTCAGTGCTTGAGTTTCCCACTCATGGAAATGTCATGGCTGAGACTTCAGAGCTTTGTTGTCATGCCCCTCTCAGATTAATGAATGCATTTTTACGTTTCCTTGTTCATTGAGGCAACAAAGTATTTAAATTTTAAAACATAAATCTTATATGTCCTCACTTAAAAATGAGTGATGTATTCTTTGGATTTAAATTTTAGTGAGTCTTGTTTTTTATTTCAAAAATACCTGCACAAATGGTTATCTTTTAACCAATAATTGTCAATAAATATTTTAATTAAATTACAAGTTATAAAACTGGTACACATGTAATTTGTATGGATCTTAAATTACTTTACATTCAGTAAATTTCACATTTACTTTAGAGACAACCTGAAAGGCCATGTAATGATGCAAAAGAGAATTAATGGAACCACACCTATATCTGCTTGTTTTTATCTGAGTGTTTCTCCAAAGAAAGTGGCCATATTCAGAAATATGATACTAAATAATTTTTCTGTTTCTTACTAGAAATAACTTCAGAGCAAGCTGGGTGGTGCTTGGGTATGTCACTGGGGATGGATATGTCTTCATCCAACTTGAAAATCAAGCCTAAATACTGTGAAAAGACTGGAGACTATAACAAGGGTTTGTTTTTAATATTAATATGTTCAGTGTATATCGTTATTTTTTCAATATTAATATCAGGGACAATATCTGCTGTTGTTGTTGTTGTTTTTTAAAAAATGACAGTTTTTATGCTTTAAATGAAAATGTATCCCAGCCATGCTACTTCTGGAAAAGAGGCCTTGGTGAGGCAGAAGTTTGCTCATCCCTGCTGGTGAAAACCAGGGTTTAAGGCAACTCGGATCCTTGGCATCATGCCTCAATAGTGCACTGTCCTGGCTAGCTGGGCACCTGCAAAACACATGAAGCCAGCCTGTGGGTGGCTCATACAGTAAGGACTTGTTCAGAAAGCAAGTGCCACTGTATGTTTGATTCACTGCCTGTGCTGGCTATGGTCAGATGTCCACATTGGTAAGACAACAGTTGGCCTAGTCTTGCCAAGGAACGATAGTGAGTAAGCTAGTAATGTGTGTTGCTTTCTAAGGGCTACACTTGGTCAGGCTTGGAGCTTGTGGATGCAGAAACTAAGTATCTGCTGACTTTGTCATCCTCCGACGACATTGGCAGTATTTAATTGGTGTTGAGGAAAGGCTTTCTAGTGGGAGACCACCAAGTTTGGTTGAGTTTGGCTTAGGAAGAAAGGAGAAAAGGGATAAAAAAAAAACTTATAGTCTGAATAAAGGTTTAGTTGATTATTATGGGCTTAAGAGCCCTTCAGAACCAGTGGTTGGCCACTCCTGCTTGAGGCTATTGCTATCAGCCAGTGACCAAATACTATTATGATGTCACAAAAACAAACAGATCCATTCTGTTCTGTTTCAGAGAACGCTTAGTAAGAATGAATATCTACCTCAGCTAATAATTTGATGGTATTATAGTTTAAAGTCATTTTGTACTTTGGTGTGTATTAGACGAGCTGTTAGTTTGTGACTGTAAATTCTATAGTCAGTGATGTGTAAAATGTTTTGTGTGTATTTTTTTTTTTTTTTTGCTATGATCCACACAGACAACGATAAATCTTCCAGTTACGTAAAGGATGTTTTGAAGCTGATTAAAGGGGGAAATGAGGGTCCCCTTGGAGGCCTGATTGTTATAA